ATTAAAAACGATACTAGTTGACATCCTAAAAGAGATGGAGAGTAATTGTTATAGTGGTGATAAAATAATTCTTTATGAAGGTTTTTTGGTAAGAATTATGGAACGTAAATTATTTCTAATCTAAAAAACCTTATATTCATGGTTTTGAATAAGCAAAAGCATTATTGTTATGTTAAAAAGAATAAATTAATCTTATTTAAATAATATTTATGCTTGTGATGAAAAGATTGGATCATGTATTTTGATGATGTCAAAAGTTTGATGTTAATGCTTTAATGTTAAAATGGTTGCTTATGTATTGAATTTTTTACATGTATTTATTTTGGATTTAATTTCATGACATAATATGTTTTGCATGATCATGGACATTAAAAATATATGTGCTTATTTTTATGAATTAAATTCTTGTTAAATATAACTTTAAGATCGTTATATTTTTGTTCATAAGAAGTCAAGCGTTTGATGGCTTGGTTTTTTTAAAAAAAATTATTGCAAATTCATGTGTATGACTCTACACTAAAAAATAAAAATAAAAAAATAAAATAAAATAAAAAACTATAGAGCAGAATTTTTGAGGCAATCAACGGAACCACCTCAAAGTTTAATAGTTTTTATCTTACATATAGTTTGCGTAAAAAAAATGAGACAATTGATAAAACCGTCCTATTTCTTAAGGTTTGGTAGTTACCTCACATTGTTTTTTCTCTTTCTATTTTGAGTTCTAAAAAGTGGAAAGGAACCCCTTCATTATTGCACTCCTTCGACTTCTAGGTTTTTTCTTATTCTTTGTTTCAATCTTTGCAATTCATAAGTAAATAAATTATCGTATTCAACCTCTATTCTTCTTCTTCATTTTTAGAGTTTCAAAATTCTATTTAATTATTGGAAAGTTTGGAACGATTCGAAGAAGAACGAATTATGTAGTGCTTAATTGCATGTAGAAATTATCCAACACTATCCTTAAGGTGATTATTGCCCCTACTATAATGTCGTAGGGATTTTAGCAATTCACCTCTAGTATACAAATTACGCACATAAGAAACTACAAGCGAGCACTCATAAAATTCCTTTAAAAGAATATCTCTTAAAGTTGTAGAGTTTTAGAAGGAAAAGAATTTTGAAAAGAGAAGAGAATTGTAGAGAAAATAATTAAAATTGTCTTCCAAGTAGTCCTTTATTTATAGATTATTGACACTCTTTCATAATATACATGATTGTTAAAATTAACTGAATTAATAGTTAAATTCTAATAGTTATAATCCAAAAGTCATAACTGTTATGTTTGTTTGAAAGCTAATAAATTTCTTAATTACACACGCGCACGTGCTAAGTGCTAGTCTTTGATTATATATATTTCAACTAATTAGCTTAGTTTTTCCTCCAATTCCTTCAATCAAATATTTAAAAGTTTTGCTAGAGATCCACTTTATAAGCTGCATCTTCTTTCCATTCCTTTCCAATGTGGGATAAAAATCCCACTTGAAAATACTTTTAATTTTTCTTCATAGTACACTTTAACTTATTATCTAACATTCCTAAGATTTCTAACATCTTTCAATGTCAAACCCTAAAACCTTCGATTCATTACTATAGTTTGATTCACTTCCATTCTTACTTACCTTGAAAATGCTTCTCTCTCCTCTAACCTCCTTCCTCACCTCATGACCACCTTTTCCCCTTCTCTCTCTATTTTGTTTATGGTTTCTTTATTCACTTATAATTTGAAGTTCCTTATGATTTGTAGGCTGAAAAAATTAAAAGAGAATAACACATGGTTTATGAAAACTATTTTTGTATTTAAGAAACTATATGTGAAATCACGAGAGGTTTTGAATTCGAAAAAATTAAAATTAGATCTCATGAAGTTACCGTTAAGCCTAAATTGAAAGATAAAGATTTAAAACCTTTTGGTGTCTATATTAAAGGATTTGATAACAAAAAAAATCATGAAGTATATATGTTGCAATGGTTTTGCAGAAGTATTCCAATATTGAAATATTTAAAGGCAACGTGCTTTTGGTAATATTTGATTTTTTATTGGAACATAATTTTTGGAAGTATATATAAAATAGTGTTAATCGCGTAATTTGTCCCTCTACTCTTGACATTTTTTCAATGTGGCTCCTCTACTCTTTTTTTTTTTTTTTTTTTGTCTTTTTTCTTTACACCTCTCTACTCTAGATATTTTCCTAATTTGTGGTCTCTATAATGGGATTTTATTTAATTTTCTAATAACAAGTGATATGTGACATTCAACATTAGATAGAAGTGCCACGTGAAATGACACGTCATATAAAATTGACTCATCATAAAAAAAAAATCTACTTTTTTAGTTTCATTTTATTAATTTCTATTGATTTTTTTGTTTGCCATGTGTTAATTTCATATGATTGTTATTCCATATGGCACTTCTATATGATATAGAATGCCACTTGTCATAATTACCAAAAAATTAAAAGGAATCCCATTGGAGGAACCATGATAAGAAAATATATGGAGTAAAAGAATGTAATGAATGCATTAAAAAGAATGGAGGGATCACATTAAGAAAATGTCAAGAGTAAAAGGACGAATTATTCGATTAAATCTATTTTTATATTTATTGGTACTTAAGTGAGTATGTAATATTAAAAAATAAAATGTGTAAACTTTTGATTTCGGATATATCTTAATATTTTTTATGTGTTTGCTATGAAATGAAATGTGGTTTATGCATTCATTGTTCAACAAGTCAATTTTTAATATTTAGTTAGCAAGTATAATTTGCTTTGTGATAATATTTAAAACATTAAATGCTAGTGTATTTAGAAATTAAAATTTGCATTGTCATGTTCTTGAATGGTTTAGACTGCTTATATATTTGGTCATAGGAATAAAATATTAAGCATTAACACTTGGATTCATGATGGTCAAAGAAGAGAAAATAAAACATTGTATAAGAATATCTCCATTGAAGTATGGAGAGAAAGAAAGTCTAATTTAAGTGATCTTATAATAAGGAGTATTTAGGTTATTATTAAGCTCTGGATTGAAAGAGAACGAAGTTGGTACCAGTGGCTTGTAAAAGTATTTTGTGGAATATGCTAAAATTTAAAAGCATACATATATATTATAAAATGTTGATTCCAATGTCATTTTCGAGTCAAAATATGTTGAATTTACTGAGGACAAAAACTTCGATGATTCTAAAAATGATCTAAAATTGGATAATGCATAAAACATGATAAAATATTGACAATTCTTTTTAGAATACCAATACTACTACTACTAATAATAATAATAAAACTATTAACTCATGTGAGGCTAGAAGAAGTCAACTATAAAGAATAGAAAATAATTGGATCCTAACTTTGAGTATGCACAAACACTAACACATGTTGTTAATATTTTGCGAAAGAGAATAAAGAAACCATTATCCTTGGATACCGACGTTGTTGCACATGTTAATCTTAAAACTCATGATGAAACTATGACTTTAATAGATGCTATAGTTTGAAAAGAGACAATACATGAAAAAATGAATTTTATATTTCCAAACAACACCAAGGTGGATGGTTCAAGACAATCCTTTAAAATAAGGTTGATAGTTTAGTGTTTTAGATAAAAACAAGGTACTGTCTTTTTTGATACCATAATGGATAAAAATATATATATATATAGTTAAAAGTGGATATGATAAATATCATGATCCTTAATGCAATGTTGCCGGTAATTTTGTATATAAATGGTTATGTGTTTGAAAATTACTTTTAGAAGACAATCATATGAATGCCTTAATGAAGATTATAAAGACAAGATTTAGTGCTATAATAGGCATTGCATAATCATTTTTCTATATGAGACTAATTATTTATAGTTCAAATGGAAGTTTGAGAAGTTGGTGTTATCTTGGAATTGAATATGAAAAGACACGGTAGCTCCAAAATACAAAGATTATTACTATTATTAATAAGCAGGAGTTTCTTCTGTCAAAATATATTAAAATTAACAACTAGTTTATTATTATCTAATGTAGAGTTGTGTCCTTTATTGTGAAAATCTAAAGTCTTTCAAACCACATAAATAAGAATTTTTTTACGATAAAATAAAAGGATAATTTGGTAAGTTTGAACCTGTAAATAAATTATATCATAAAGATGCAAAATCTTAAAGAGGTCATAGAAGGATGAGGGTTAAAAAATGGTACCAGCATCAACAGCTGCCATTGTCATTATACATTTACCTTAGCATTTGTATTCATGGGGCCAAAGGTCTTCAACAATGATATAGACAGGCAACATAAATTCAATTAGCCTGATATGTTGTCAACATCATTCCAATGTCCCCCCCACCAACTCCTAGTGCCCATAATAAAGGAAGACCTGCTATATGCTGTATTATCTCCAAAATTATCCTCTGCAGAAGAATGTCAATTGCCTTGGAATTTTTAACTGTTATCTTTATTATTATAATCTGATAATAGCATCCAATTTTGTAAATGTAAAAGCAACAAATTCTGTCAAGTAACCATGAATCATTAATACAAAATACAATCGTTTTAAAGAAAGTAACTGTCTCAAGCAACAATTTCACGTAACAGGAGGAGTTTTTTATTTATTTTATTTTAACAACATCAGTAGGTTCAAAAAAAAAAAAAAATACAAGCGAGGGATTTTACTAAACACCAAGCAAAGAGGTTGGAGTAAAGAACAAAAGAGCAAACAGGCAACAGAATAGGATCCAGCCTAAACAACAATGCTAAAGCAATACAATCCTGGAAGTATAGCAAACAGACTAATTAACCCAGGCATGGACCTTGAACTAAAAGCAACAGAAACTTACAAAGCCAATTGCCCAAATATATATAGTAATCATAGATAGCATAAGCCTGGTTGCCGGAAAAGTTTGGAGAGCTTCTCCTTCCATTATTTACTAGAGCTATAAGTGCACTAACACAACCAATCTTATTCAACTACGAGACACCAAGGCCCTTATTCAGTGTAGCAGTGGCATTTTAAAATCTATGCCTGCGAAGCAAAGATAAACAGGAGATTGGTTACTTCACCACAACTACCATGAATTTGAAAAAAAAAAGGATTAGATGCTATAAGCATATTAAGAAGAGTTTGATGCTTTACCAAAAAGCGTTTCTTGTAAAATTCAACCAGCTCTTTCGGATCTGGTTTTGTCTGCTTGTAAGCCTCAATCTTGTTCACCGCCTGCATATGGATTTATAAAAGGACAAGTTACCATCCAACAAGAGGCTGCCTCTTTTTAAATACTGGTTCAGGATACGGATTACTAGAAAATCTAGCTCTAATGTTCCGTTTCTCAACAGCAAATGATTGCTCATCACGGGCTTAAGTAGTCGACACTAGAGAGCATGCCAACACAATAACCAGACATGGCCTAAGTCATGCAAGATTGAAGATCCAGCAAACTACTACAAGCAGAGGGTATTATAGATCAAAAGAAGAAGAAGAAGAAGAAGAAGAAAACAATAAGGCAAGGGTACAGAACCAGGGACACCAGGGAAGAACAAAATGCAGAAGCATGAAACACAATTAAAGGGAAAAAAAAAGAAAGAAAGAGAGCAGCAACAATTGAAGCAAAAGATTCCCATGGTTGAGTTGAACATATAATATCAAATAGAGGGATAAAATAAACTATCTCAGCAAAGAATAACTAGATTAATGACTGGATGACCTGGGTGGATATGAAGAGAAAATGGATTCAAGATTACCTCAATCCAAGCTGCCAGTTTTGGTCTGCCGGCAGTAACATCATACTTAAACACTTCTGACAAGAAGATATAGAATCTTTCAACAAATGGGATATAGGCTATATCCACCTGAAAAATAACACACTCCAATAATGTGTTAAGGAAATGATCAACAATCCCACATATTTCTGAATTGAAAGATAAGATTGCATTGTAATGTGCTATACAGTGAAAAATTCAACAAATTGAGTAGGTTAAGGTGCTAGTAACGTCAACTAAAAACATACCAAACTGAATTCTTGACCAAGGAAGAATGGCCCATCATCAAATTTATGCAGAGCATTTTCCAGGTGATCAAAAGCAGGACCTGTTGCAAGTTACTAATTAAAGTTAATCAAGTTCACATATAAAGCATTAGGCATAGAAAGAGAAATCTGAAGTTTACCCGCTTGCTTTGCCACGTCTCCCTTGAATGCAGTAAACACTGTACCATTGAATTTATCAGTGTAGGAGAACAACTCTTCAGCGAACTCTTTCTTAGCAGGATCCTACAGCAATTGTCTTTGTTAATATTGTCCAAGTTGGAGAGTTTTCATCAAGAGTGCAACAGCATTATCTGCATCTCACCTTGGGGAGAAGAGAAGGTCCTTGAAAGTTGCTTTCTAAATATTTAATCAAATCAAGACTCTCCCCAATAATTTTGCCATTGTGTTCCAATGATGGTACCTATAAACAAACATGGTTTCGTGATCAATCAAGAAATGATAAATAATGCACAGGTTAAACAATGACCATATGCACTTGATGTAACTATGTATCATGTTAGTATTAACACAAAGTCGTCCAAAATTTTTGCACATCCAAAATCACAACAAAATTCCAGGAATTTTTTGGTGAAAATTTATGTAAAATATGAAGACCAATAACTCGATAAGCAATTTTATCAGGCTAAATTCAGTAATTCATTAGCTTTTTGACCACTTTATTTTAGTCCATGCCCTATATATGTCTAGTTTAGTACTGACACCAGCATAAACACCTTCACGATAGCCATACGATAGCGAAGCAGAGTGGAGCAGTAAAGAAAAAAATATTGACCTTATTCGGAGGGTAAACTTTCTCTGCATACCAAGCAGGCCTATTTTGAAGGATTAGAGGAACTAGTTTAATCTCATCTTGCAATCCCTGTACCCATAATAAATAAATAAATAAAATAAAATAAACAGCCTTGATAAAACTGAAAACACTAATAAAATAGAAGAGAACAGAGTTGATTAAGAAACCTTGAAATTTCTGGTGATCCAAACTCTCTGGGCAAATGGACACGTATAACATGTATACAACCTTAAACACAACAAAAACAACGGCTAAGTTTAGAAACAAAATTCTTACAATCAATCAAACACAACAGGAAAAAAACAAAAAAAACAAAAACAAAAACAAACTTGGTAGTCCCATCAAGGAGCGGTGGTTGCTCTGCAGTAGCATCCAATGGTTGGGGCAACTTCTCTGGTACGCTCTTATCCAAACTTCCAATTCAGAAGAAAAGAAAAAGAAAAGAAAATAAGAGAAATCACTACAACAGCAAAAAAAAGTTAGGGATTGAAAAAAGCAGGAGATTCTTACGCAGCAGCAGCCATGGGAGCGATACTGATAGCGGTAAGTGGTTTCAAGTTGGTTTGGTTGTTGAGTATGATCTGGAGAGTTCAGTGGGTGAGAGGATCTTTTATAAGTGCAGAGGGCGGTGATTTGGGACAGAATAGTGCCTACATGCAAAATGGGCTGGATTTATGCATACAGTAAAAGATTTGATTTAATTGCGACAACGTGATCTTTGCAGTGACGACAGTAGGTTTGACCCTTCCAGGATTTCAGTTGGGTCCAATTCGCTTTCGAGCCTGCAAGTTAGGACGAACGGGAAAGTATGATTGATAGTATATGATTTTTTTCTTTTTTGGGGGTTTAGGAGGAAGCATGTAATTAAAGTTAAAACATTGCCGAAGGTATCTCGTGTTGGATTTATCTCAGTGTCGGAAACTTCAGACTGCATAAAAGGTCTTCTTATCATTTACCATCCCAAGGAATTTCCTTCGGGGAACAAGAATCCATAATAGTTCTGCCTATATTATGATTGTTAATTAAAACTCTAAAATTTTGTTAAAAATATCTAATAAATACATATAAAAAAAAATCAACATCTAATGATATTATATCATTCAACAAATAATTCATTTGGATCGTGGATTGTCACTTTTGAGTTTTTCAGAAAGAATTGTTACAATTTGTATTAATTCTACAATTTTTTTATAAAAAAAAAACTATTTAAGCAAAAGAAATCATAATTTTTTTATTGCCATCTAATCTAATCTAAATATAATAGTAAAATGGATATAATTTTCTGTGCGTTGTATATATGATTTTGATATGTGCACTAGTCAGGCATATTATGCTGATAATTGATAATAATATGACATGCATTAAAAATCAACAAATAAATTTTAAGACATTAACGATTCTCTCACCGACGAATCTCGATCATTGTTTTTCTCTTCGTTATCCATTATCTTAGCCCTCCATTTGAGAGAACGTCTACTTTGTTGTATGGATATGTTTGGCATTTTCATATTTTGAAAGATTTATTTGTAATTTGGTTTTGTTTGGGATTTGGCATCGTTAATTTTTTTTTTTTTTAAAAAAAAGAACTGCAAAGTTGATAGTCGAATACTAAACGTAACTTCTTTTTTTCTAAAAAGAAAAAAAATTAAAAAAAGGTGCATGTAAGCAATTACATGTTCATTACGTCTCAGATTACGTAAGTTAATTGTCATTAAGAAAAGGGCAGCAAGTTGAAAAGTGGAATGAAGCTAGTAAATTGCACATAACACAAGAAGGGTCATTCAGATGAGTGGATTAACGTTTACTCTTGAAGGGTTTAGTTTTGAACTGATAGCCGCCTGGAGATAGGATGTCTGAGCTTGTTCATGGACCAATTCCGATACGTGTCAAAGTAACATGCTAAGGATCAATTAGCTATCCGCACTGCATATATGCAAACTTTCTTTAATTATATATATATATATATATATATATATATGTTTTCGTCTTTTTATTAAATAGATTGAGTGGTGAAATTCATCTTTGAATGTCCAGTTAATATGAACCAGATCCTTTGATTTTTCTGATTTTTACGTCTTTGTTTTTTTCTTTTTTCTTTTGTTTTGTTTGTTTGTTTTTTTGGGTCAAGGTGCCATTCACCAATATTCATCGACTGATGTGGAAGGCCACAGGACAACACTTGACTCGTTGAAAAAAAAAACCTATTTTCATCATGGGTAAAATTAATCTAAAATAAAGTAAAAAAAAAATCATAAACAAATTAATAAAAAAAATTAAATAGAGGGAAAAAAAAACTTAATTTCTAGGAAAGAAAACCTTAAGAAATAATTAAATTACACCTATTCCACGTAAGGAGGGAAAAAACTACAAGGAGTCTGGAACGTTTCCCTTCTTTTCCGTATCCAATCGATTCATGTACTCTTTAACAATTCAACAAAACGGTTCTTTTCGAAAAAGTGAAGTGATTGGCAATAATGATGGCAAAAACAGATCGATCAGGCAAGTAGCTACTACTGAATTCAGATAATAAATTTTAGATTTTATTAAAAAATTTGAAGGATTAATGGAAACTATATATTTTATGATTGATTTTGTTAAACTTGAACTTATTCTTAATTTTCAAATTAGTGTTTGTGAATTTTCATGGTATATATGGCAAAACTCAATTTAAAGAAGAGCTAGCTAGGCAGCGCCATGCCAGCAGGAGTCTCCATCTATTCCCTTTTGGACGCTTGCAAACGACCAATCAACCATTGAGCTCTTATGCTCAAAATCCTAAACACTTATAATTTACTAGTGTTCTACGTACCTAGGCTCTGCATGCATGCTGGGTTTATATATATATATGTGTGTATAACTTAAAAAATTTATTGTAGTTGTCGATTGTATATTATAATTTATATTTCTCAAAAAAAGTATATACATATATTTGTTTTATGTTTAATTTATTAATGAATATTTTCCTTATAATAACTAATTTATGATATTAATTACATCATATTTTTCTTAAATTCTTTTTTTTTTCGTTGAGGTTCTTGTTGGTTATTTGTTTTTAAAAATTTCGTTACTTATTCATTTTTATCTGTTTTTTTTAGGACCAACATTTGAATACAAGGTCACATTCTTAAATATACGTACGTTGAAGTGTTATGGTGGAGATTGAATTTATAGTTGTCCGTCATATGATTCTTTTTGACTGATTTCTCATAAGTTCTTACTCATGTTTTCTAACCATATTAAGTGTAAAATCAATGTACTGAGACATGTACAGTAAGTATGAGAAATTTATTAAAATTTCTCTAGTAAGCATACCTTTTTTAATTAGCACTCTACCTAGCTATTACACTGTAGAGCATCATGTATTTATTTAGGCATGTGCAACATAAAAAGTAAGGACATGCATGAAACCACACAGAGCTCCTCCATAAATAAGGGAAAAAAAATATTATGCCAGCTACTGACTTAAATTTCACGTGTTAATATCAATATTTACTGTGTATATAATTAATTACAATATTGAATACCCTACATAACTCAAAATAAGAGAAAATATTTTATTTTCTTATTTTCTAACAGATCATATTTGTTGGATTCTAATAGACATAACCGTTAGATTATATATATATATATATATATATATATATATATATATATATATATATATATATATATATATAATTCCAACCAATTAGCTTAGTTTTTCCTCCAATTCTTTCAATCAAATATTTGAAAATTTTGTTAGCGGTCCGCTTTATAAGCTGCCTCTTCTTTTCATTCCTTTTCAATGTGGGATAAAAATTTCACTTGAAAACACTTTCAAATTTCCTTCATAATATACTTAATTTATTATCTAATATTCCTAAGATTTCTAACAATCCCCCACTTAGATAATAATACTAAGTCTCGATAGGATCATGCATAAAAGGAAAGCTGTCTCTCGACTTGAATCTCCTTTTAGTGTAAATATCTAAAAGTCTTAATGGAATAAATGGTATTTAAGTGATTGAACCAATATTCCTTGTATTAAAACTAAAAATACCACACAAGTGATCTAATCCAACTTCTTTTAGAAATTCTCAAAAATTCTTTTAGCACTTATATGGCCATGTGCTACATCCTTGATTTTCATAAACATTTTCAAAAATTGACCATTGAGCTTTTGCCGGGAGCGACACCACTCCTTATATTTATATAGGTGAAATTCCTATTAAGTTCGAATATATTGATCATATTCCATAACTTAAATCCTCATTAAGAGTTTATAACTCATCCTCCAAACTTTATTAGTATTAGTTAACTTGGAATGGAAACAAAAATGAAATATCCTAGTACTTCCATAGTCATTTATTAGTAACTTATTTTAACCAATTGAACTTTTAACTAGTGGTAATACTAGAGAAAAGTTAGGTTTCTATTACTGGTGACTCTAGGAAAAGGGTCTTAAACCCATTCTAATTGAATTTTTCCTTACTAAATCTTTAATAAGCCTTTTTGTAAACGAGTACGCCAAATTGTTACTTGTTCTTACATATAAGATTGTGATAATTCCTTCAAAAATTAATTATTTGACATATGCATGTATCTAGCTTATATGTCTAGATTTTTCATTGTATATCTTGCTAAAAGCCACTAGACATAGTATTTTCATTATCGCAATGTAAAGAAATGACTGACATTGATTGTGGCCATAACTCTATTTCTAGCAATAAATTTTGTAGCCATTACGCCTCTTTTCTTGCAGTCGCTAGTGCAACAAACTCGGATTCCATAATGGAATGAGTTATACACATCTGTTTCTTAGAAGCCCATAAAATAACTCCTCCACTAAGAGTGAATATCCAATCGGATGTAGACTTGTTATCTCTAGCACTTGTCATTCAACTAGCATCAATACCGATGGATAACCCTCATAAAATAGTCCTAAACTCAAAGTTCTTTGGAGATAACCAAGGACTCTAGAAATTTCTTTTCAATTATCAAAACTAGGATTACTAGTGTATCTTGAAAGCTTACAAACTGCAAAGGAAATGTCGACCTAGTGCGATGCATGACATACATTAAGCTACCAATTACACTAGCATACTCAATTTGAGAATTGCTATCTCGAGATTTTTCATTAACTTATGTGAAATTTCATATAAAGTGTTTACCTCTTTAATTCCCAAATGTTGATTCTTATTTATGATTTTCTCAATATAATGGGATTGACACAATGCATAACTCCCACTAATTTTCTTTACTTCGATTCCCAATATAGTATCTACCTCTTCAGATCTTTCATAATAAACTTGTGAGGATAAGTACTTCTTTATTTCATTCACACCACCAATATTTGTCACAAATATAAGCATATCATCAACATATAAGTATACAATAACATCATATTCTTTTATAAATTTAAAATAAATATATTTATCCGTATTATTATGCTTAAATCCATAGACAATACAATATAATCAAATTTTTCATACCATTGTTTTGGTGTTTGTTTTAAACCATATAATGATTTAGCCACTTTGCATAC